AGATGTATTTTACTGAGCCATTAGTTCTTTTAGGGGATTAATTCTGAGGTACTCAGAAGATATGTTTAGAAAGATTTATTTTTCTACAAAATTTGTTCCTGGACTCCCACTTCCTTAATGAATGTTTAAACTTTAAATAAGCAAACTCTTTTCTGCACCACTGGAGAAATGAAAAAACATAACACAGATGAAGGAAAAGTTATCTGTATTTGCTTCTAAATTCTAGCAGAAGCAAACATCTACTCCAGGACATTTATTGACATTCTCAACATCATATACTCAACAAGGAATCAAGAATTTAATGATTAAAAAAAAAAACAAACATATTCAAGTTGTTGAAAATATGAACAGCTCTTAAATAACTTGATTAATGTGTTTTCTTTTACCTACTGTCTTAATTCTTGCTTTTAACTTTTAAAAAATTCATCCAACTTAGAATATTGCATACCTTAATCAGTCTTTACTAAGATTTTGTCTGTGCTTCATTTTTGGTTTACATGGTCCTTTCTTTCATAATTTTTTTTTTATTTATTCGTACAGAACTGGGGTACAGGCCAGAGATGCGGAGGGTGAGAGGCTTCACCAGAGACAGAGTGGGGAGCAGAACAGGCAGATCCACGAAGTACACTGCTGAGGGGAGCAGTGGGCGGGTCAGGAGAGGTCTGCCATGCCATGTGGTCACCTCCAGGGCAGGCGGGAATCGAACTCATGTGGAAGTGGTTTAAGATGCGGAGGGTGAGAGGCTTCACCAGAGACAGAGTGGGGAGCAGAACAGGCAGATCCACGAAGTACACTGCTGAGGGAGCAGTGGGCGGGTCAGGAGAGGTCTGCCATGCCATGTGGTCACCTCCAGGGCAGGCGGGAATCGAACTCATGTGGAAGTGGTTTAAGCTTCTTTGGGCCGTGCTTTAACCCACTGAGCCACCAGGGAGGGCCTCTTTCATAATTTTTACTGGAAAAAATTCTGTTGAGAGACGCCCAAGCTTTCAAAAATTTTCTGATGATTCTGTAAAACTGTTCCCAAACTGCTGTAGCCCTGCACATTCCTATTCATCTTTTCTCAACAATTTGGTTTTAGATTATTTTATCACTGATAATATCAGGAGTCTTTTGATATCTGGCATTTTTCTTTATATTTCCATGCTTAAACTTAAAAAATAAATTAAAATTTTCAAAAGCTAGTTTTAAAAAGTATCAAATATCTTTTTGGCCAAAATTCAATTTGTTTTACCCAGTTAGTTAATTTTCTTAGAATTTTTAGTCTTTTTAAGTCCTGGTGTCTACCAGGACTATTTAAAGTCCCCCACTTTCCCCACATACACCATTTGTTGAGATGACATGTACAGGATAAGTGTTTATTAAATGTTTTGTGTGATAGAAATACAGAGGCTAAGATTTTCATCTTAATGGAAGAAAGAATGTGTACAACTGTTAAGATTAAAAGTGTGGAGGGATCCTGGCCCTGAGGTTTCTTTATTAACTTTTATATGTTACTTTTGAAAACAAACTTAAGAGGAATTAATCCTGATATTTTTTCTTACAGAGTACTTACATGGTAAACTAGAGGAATATATAAAACAATTTTCTATAGTAAAAATAGTCAGACAAAGAGAAAGAAAAGGTCTGATTACTGCACGGTTGCTAGGAGCAACAGTAGCAACAGCTGAAACGCTCACATTTTTAGATGCACACTGTAAGTATTTATATATAGACACAGTTGTAACATTTCCCTTCCCCTCCCCTTTAATTTAAAAGGTAAGGAAGTCTGTTCTTTAAATGCCTAATTGCATTTTCTTTGACATCATTTTTAACTGGTGGTCATAACAATGACAGCCCAAGCAGCGCCCAGCTCTACATACAAATTTACTTTCATTTATAGAGTTCTTACCTCCTTGAGGTTTGAAGTTTCCTCAACTTTATGCCCACCAGTGATCCGTTTCCTCAGCAAGTTATCCTAGCCTAGGATTTTTTTCAGATGCTCATTCTCTTAAAAAAAAAAAAAAAAAAGTGTTGCCTTATTGTTCTTAATTCTTATACTTTAAAATGAATGAAAGCTTTGTTACCAGTCGTATCTTTAACTTTTGTCCTGGTATGCTTTTAATGCCATATTTTTCTTATTGAGCATTTCCTGTCCTAGCCTCCAAATCTTCAAATACTACTTCTTATGCTAAGTTATGCTAAATGTCTTTCCCCAGTATACTTTACTCTGGAAAACAAATTTTAAGCAACTCAGAATGCTTTGGGGCCAGTGGTATGGACCTCCAACAGCAAAAAACTGTTTTTGATCCATGTTCAATGCTGAATCTTACTTACTTTTTTCACCCTACTCCATCTCATCACAGGAAACTTTAACAAAACCTCCCCTACATAAATGGTCACAAAATAACTTTGTTATTCTCATTTCTCTGTAAACCCTTTTCCAAAAAAATATAAGGAAAAAAAAATCCTCAGTGTTTTCACTGAATTAACTAAAATTGTATTCTTACCAGGTGAATGTTTTTATGGCTGGCTAGAGCCTTTATTGGCCAGAATAGCTGAGAACTACACAGCTGTTGTGAGTCCAGATATTGCATCCATTGATATGAACACTTTTGAATTCAACAAACCTTCTCCTTATGGAAGTAACCATAATCGTGGAAATTTTGACTGGAGCCTTTCATTTGGCTGGGAATCACTCCCTGATCATGAGAAGCAAAGAAGGAAAGATGAAACTTACCCGATTAAGTAAGTTGATTGTGTTTAAGTTATGTGTATTTGACCATGAATGTACTTTTTCTATTTACAGTACTTGCATGCTAGCAAAATAAAGGACTCATATACTCTTTTTGTAGAGAATAGAACAGGCATTTATTTATGTGTTTACACATGATGTTATCAAGTAGGAAATAGTTAAGTCTATTTTTTTTTCCCTCATAATCATTACTAGAGAAACTTAAGCTTGTTAGAAGATGTACATTACTTTTTCTCCGCTGGGGAAAAACAAAGTACAGTTTCCCTCAAGAAAACAACTTTGAAGATAACATTTTAAATTTTTATTTATCTATGTGTAAACTTTGAAACTCTGGTATCTATGAATTCTATGCAGTTGCTCTTAAAATATGCTTTTTTTACTTATTTGGTTTTTATAACAGAATTTGAAAACAAATTATTTTTCAGAACACCTACTTTTGCAGGAGGCCTTTTTTCCATATCAAAAGAATATTTTGAATACATTGGAACTTATGATGAAGAGATGGAAATCTGGGGAGGTGAAAATATAGAAATGTCTTTCAGAGTAAGTTTATGAAGGTTGACCAAATATGTTCCAACTGGGCTGATACAGATTATCATGGATGGGTGTAGTCTTCCTATTTGGTATTCTAAAATTTACTTGTTAGAACATTTGGTATAAGGACATTTCTTTTTAAAATGTAGCTTAGTACATTCATTTGTTGCTGTCAATTCAATGTAACCAGAAGAGTCAGTTAAATGCCTGTGTCCAGGCAGTAACACCAATTAATACACTTGTAGCAACTGAATTCCAGCCAAGATAAATATAATTAAATCTAGTGCTTCAGGAAATGAGTTGATTATCAAGGGATTCAGAATGGAAAAACATTTATATATAATTTTAAAGAACATTGGACTTAACTCTTTGGATTAAATGAACCTTCCCCCAATACATATTAAAACTTAATATGAAAAATAAAACAAAGGCTTACGATGGATTCCACATGTACCTATTTGATTTCATGAGTTCATTTTTAATAGTGTTTTTGTCATTTTTCATTCATTAGGCTGAAATGTAGTAGAAAAATAACTGAACCAGAGGTTAGAAGACTTAAGTTTTGGCCCTGACTACATTACATAATGGCAGTGGCGATCTTAGCCAGATTTGAATTGCTTCAAGAGTCTTGTTTTATTCATTTCAGTGTTCCCAACCCTAATGCATGCTAGATCTCAAATACAGTTTTTTTAAGTGAACATATTCCTGAATTTACTCATTTGTTCAAAAAAAGAGAAATAAGATTACTTTTTCTTACATTAGCACATACTATTCAATATGATTTCATTTTAGATGTTCTGCTTAGTGATTATGGCAGAATAGATTATCAAGATATTTAAGAGAATAGATGTTAATGATATGGCATTTTTTAGAAATTGATGCAAATAAGTTATTTTTATTTTGTTATAATTGACATATAACATTAGTATCCAATAGAGAGCATGCTTATTTGATATTTATATATATTATGAAATGGTCACCATAATAAACTGAGTCTACATCATATACAAACATAGATACAAATTTTTTGTGTGTGTGTGATAAGAACAGATAAGTTTCAAATAGGGTTGAATTTCTCCTAACGACAAATTACTTCACAAGCTTAATAGATTGTACTTTGATAATAGTGACTACCTGGAATCATTTTCTTGATTAAAAATTGAATTTGTAAGCAATAGAGTCTGAGACACTTAGTCCAAGATTGTTAATTCATTCTATGGACATGAGAGCCTTGTTGCTCAAGTGAAGTAATCATTCAAGTTGTATAAGAAGATAGAAGTGGAAGGCAGAAGAACCTTTGTTCTTTATGTATATTAGAGAGCTACATACTTGTTTGTAAAAGAAAATAAATTTTTTACTTCCTCTTTATGAAAGATCTGGAATCACTATTTTGTTAAGTTGATTTCTGAAAAATAGGCTTTTGTTATCCTTAATGGTTGTACCTATTAGTTAAACCATTCTCATATTTAAGAATTTAAGTTGAGTTGTCAGGGGACAGAGACTAATTTTTAAGTTATAATAAATCATTTCTGTGGTTTTTTTTAATTGTTATCTTAAGGTGAACTTAAAAAAGTGACACTTTGACTTTACCAAAATACTGTAAATTTAAACAAATATCATTAATTATCAGGTATGGCAATGTGGTGGGCAGTTGGAGATTATGCCTTGCTCTGTTGTTGGACATGTTTTTCGCAGCAAAAGCCCTCATACCTTTCCAAAAGGCACTCAGGTGATTGCTCGAAACCAAGTTCGCCTTGCAGAAGTCTGGATGGATGACTATAAGAAAATATTTTATAGGAGAAACACAGATGCAGCAAAAATTGTTAAACAAGTAAGTTAGAGCTAAAAGATAAAAAAAAAGTGCATGCTAGGTTCACATATCCTTTTACTTATTTGAATTAACCCAAGTACAAAGCATTAAAAAAAAGTTATATTTGGGCCACTGAGGCCTGAGTTTGATCCCCAGTTCAATCCCAGGACTGGTAGCTAAGCCACACATGGCACAGCAGACCTGTCTTTCTCACCCACTGCTCCCCTCAGCAGTGTAGTAAGTAGATTTGCCTGTTCTGCTCCCCACTCTGTCTCTGGTCAGTCCTCTTACCTGCTGCACTTCTGTCTGGCCTACATCCCAGTTCTTGTATGCATAAATATAAAAAATGTTATATTTGAAACTTTTTTTTTAGCTCTAAAATTCATAACTTTTATTAATGTCAGCTTATTTTTTTTTTTTAGGAAAACCCCAGTAAACAGTTCTTTTTTTTTTTTAATTTAGGCATTCTATTTTATCTTTTTAAATATGGAAGAGAGTTTTTGTTACTGCCTTGGTTCAATAGGGTACTCTGGAAAAATAGGATTAAGTGGAACTTTTAATTGGCTTTAGGTAATATATTAACTCCTAAATTAAAGTACTAACTGACTATTTGAACTGGAGAGAAAAGCAATGTCAGAATGTGCAGAAGAATGAACTGAGATTCTCAAGGCCCTTCTTTTCCTCTTTTAAGTTCTGGTTCTACTACTCACATGAATCAGTGCTTCTCAGTGACCTTTGCAACCTGTTCAGGGAATGACATCCAACTCTTTGTAAGTCACAGTGCTGAGGCATATAATTGCATTAAAGGGCGTCAGCATTTTGACTGTCACAAAGGAAGTCAGGATGGACTTCCTGCTTCCTTCTTTCCACTGCCTTTTCTTTGCTCTCTACTGTCTCACTATAACTTGTCAGTAAGGTACAAAGGCAGAGCAAAACTGGGTTAGATCACTATCATTTTACCTATGGTCACCAAAACAAATTGGGCAGATTGTGTACTATGCAGGGTTCTTGGAGAAGGAGGAAAGCGGTGATAAATGCAGCTCATAGTTTTTTCCACTCTCAAAGGGTAAAAAGGGTAAGTGAGCCAGCAAACCCCTGTCTTTTACCACAGGGCAAATAGGTCTATGTGGTAAAATGCACAGTCTGGCCAGATGTCCTCTAAAGTTTCATACTTTTGCTAAATACCTGGGTTTACGGCATTAAAGTTGGCATAAAAAAATATTTACCTTAGTTGAAATGATAAGCTTTCCATATACTTAGGTATCACATATGATATATTTCTTTAAAATGTTGCCTTTAGACCAAGTATATTTTAAGGTTAATAATGCTTTTTAAAAATTAATTCCTTAAATAAAGGAAAATTGAATGCACTGATTTAAAAATTGCCTATTTCTACTAATATATTGTTGTTAGGATACTTTTTGAGGGTAAGTATGCTTTACATAAATTTATTTTACTTAAGTAAATAGAATACTTCTTTAAAGTAAATACATTTAATTAGACCAAAAAATATTATTCCCAACTATGTTGTGTTTTTGTGGTTTTGACTAGAGAAGAGAAAGAAATTACATGAGATATTGGCACTGTTACTCGATACCTGATTTCTCACACCTTGCTTTACAGATCTCTTTGAAGTATAAAATTGGGCTCAATTTTGGATGGTCTCATTATCATTTCTTTTTTCTATGGGGAAGGCTTGGGTAAAAGGAAGAATGAAAGAGCCCTATGTCAGCAGGCCATTAGTACTTGGTTTCCTTGAAGCCAGAAATGAGCAGGCAGACATACTTGTTGCCTGAAAGAGTGGTAAAAGCAGTTAAATTGCATCTTGCACTTTAGTGCTGGTTTTTTTTTTTAATGATATAATAAATACAGATAGCATTTGAAGTATTTTATGAGTGCTTTTTTGATTAAGCATTCCCTTCATTTTTCATCTTCCTCCAGAAATCATTTGGTGATCTCTCAAAAAGATTTGAAATAAAACACCGCCTTCAATGTAAAAATTTTACATGGTATCTGAACAATATTTATCCAGAAGTGTATGTGCCAGACCTTAATCCTGTTATATCTGGATATGTGAGTATTTTCCTGTTCCTTTTTGCTTAGTATACTTTTGCCACCAACATTTATGTGGTTCATGAAAAATTGTTGAAATACTTTCTGGTTTATTGCTTTTGAGAGTTTACTTTATTATTAATACTGCTTCCTGAAATAAATTGAAAAAATATATAAGCGACTAAAAAAAATATATATAAGCCATGTAAATTAAAATTTTTTTGCTTATAACTTGAAAATTTTCCTTTAGATTAAAAGCATTGGTCAACCTCTATGTCTGGATGTTGGAGAAAATAATCAAGGAGGCAGGCCATTAATTTTATACACATGTCATGGACTTGGAGGAAACCAGGTGAGCAATGCATTAAAAATCCTGACTTCTCATTAGCACTAAGAAACACACACATTGTTCCATATTTTAGAAATATCCTTAGATAGTTTTATATTCAGATAAGCTGTATGTGGAATGTGTTTAGATTGTTTGACAATTGATATCAAAGTTGTTATATACTTTGATTTTTTTACTCTAATTCTAAAAACTATTTGCAGTTGCTTACCAACTTAGTAGAGGCAAATGAAAAAAATAGTAGAAGAATGCTGTTTGGAATTAAAATATTAGATCTTCTATGAGGATCTTTGAAATTGGGTGTCTGTTGGGATGATAATTTTAAAACATTATACAAAAAGGATATATTTAACAGGATTTAGTAGCAATTGTATCAAGTGTTAATACCAAAAAAAAAAATCCTACATTATTTTTGCTTTCGTGGGTCAATAGTATTATTTCAGTGTGTTCTTAAAAGCTATCTGCTGTGCTTGATTCTCCTTGATGGGTGGCATCTCTACATTTTCCTACTCTTTCACAAATTACAACTGCATAGCATCAAATTTCACTATTTAGCCTACTTTGTCTGGAGCATGTATTAAAATATTATTTCCAGGTTGTTTTTTTTTTTTTTTATTGCTTCCTTGCCTTCTACAAGTTATCTCTTGAAAGTAATATACTCTCTCACTTGTTCATTCAACAAATGCATTGGGTGGCCCTTGCATACCAGGTACAAGCAATGTATATTCCAGTTCCATCAGGAAGTCTATGGTTCCAAACCTGCAGTTACAGTCAGTGATAGGCATCTAGGGTAAAGCACTCAGGGTGCTCGCCAGGTCTGCAGGAAGGCATCTGCATCATACTGGCTGTCATACAGCTTTCTGGCAATGATAACATTTTTTGGAAGTTATTTAGGAACCTGTGAAGTAGCATGTGGAAATGAGAATGGAATGAGGAGCTGGCATGTCTTTTTTTTTCCCTGAGAATTGCAGGTATCTTGGTGAAGTAGTGTCCAGGATGTGTATGGAGGATGTGTCCTGAATTAACTAATCATGATCTCTTATTTTGGCAGGATGGGACTTCTGGTAGTTAGAAGAAAGGATGAATGTAGCTCCTAATCCATACTCCTCCATGTTTCTTCCTATCCATTAGCCTCAACTTACTCAAGTTCTATTCTTTATTCATCTAACCCAATCAACCTAGCAGATGCTGAAAGGTTATTCTGTTCTATGTTTAAGTTAAAATTTTGAAATTGGGTGGACACACATATACTCCACACATATAATATATGCACACATACCTATAGCTACATCCATATATACCTGTGAAGGTATGTGTGTGTATATGTGTATATATGTATATATACACACATACACACAGGCATATATACATGCATGTTTGTATATGCCAAGTTAGAATTTTTCTTTTCCCTATTTATATTTTTAAATATTTCCATTCTTTTAGAAATAATACCAGACAGCATTAGGGAAACATTGCCTTATTTCTAAAACTCTTATATTAAAGGAAAATATTAATGAATTTATCTCAAACTTCCTCTAACATTATTGTAGTTTATTGTAAAAGTTGGTATATTTTATACATTATTTTATTCTGTTTTTCTGCTATTGCCATGTAGATTTTAGTTTTATCTGTAAAATCATTTTTCCATCATAAATAGACTATAGTTGCTTTCAGAAAGTTTGCAATGGAGAAGTGATTCATATATTCTTTCAACAAATATTTGTTCAGGCCCTGCAGTGTAACTTATACCATTAAGCATTGAAAAAGACAAAGTTCTTGAGCCTGATGATCTTTTCTTGTAGAAGGAAAGGAAAATATACATATGTGATTTGGGGTATGAATACAAATTAAGCTGGACAGGGGATAATGTGTATGTGGGAGGTGGTTATTTTAGGAGTTCAGAAGGACTTCTTTGAGAAGGTGCTGTTGCAGTAGAGGTGAAGGAGTTGAGAGGAGAAGCATGTGCCAAGAGGAAACCGTCTAGGCAGGGGCGGCAAAGTGCCAGGGGCAGGTACACAGAGCAAGCGGAGAGCCAGTGTGACTGAAGCACAGGGGTCCAGGAAGAGGGCTGAGAAATGTAGTCAAACCTGGTCATGGGAGGCTTTGCAGGCTTCATTAATGAGCTTGTACTAAATTCTGAGTGTGACAGAAGCCATGAGAGGTTTTGAGCAGAAGAATCATATTTTCTAAAGGTCAATATTTTCAGCAGATAACTGCCTTCTCTAACACATAGCCTTTGATTTTATTTTCGTTTATTTCCTTTACTTTTATTGCAATCAAACAGTGAATTTAAACTACATTGCAAAGATTATTTCCTTGAGTGCTCAATATTTCTGGGAGACCATATAACCTGACTTTCCCCCATGCTCTTTTTCTATTATTTTGACTACATAATAAAGCTCTTATACCATAAAGCTCCACTGTAACAGGATCTGTGTATGCCATGTCAAAAAAATAAGTATTTTGATGATGTCACTAAATTGGCTAAGGGACTGATGACACTGAAGCTTAAGGCACTATTGCTTAATAACTCTTACTGCTTTGCTTTTTCTGCTTTCTCTTTAAGGGTATTTGTCCTAGTTCTGAATTAATATATCTCCAATGTTCGTAGCTTGCAAATTACATATTCTTCTTTGTCACCCAAATATTTTCAACTATTTTATACTCCTTATAATTTCCCTTTTAATCACTTCTTAAAAAAAATGGAAGTAAAATAATCGATACCCTTTCTTACCATCTCTGCAATCCAGAGGTTCACCTTTTTTAGAGCTGTGTGGCTTGAGAGAAGTTTTCATGATCTAAACCTGTTTTCCTCCAGTGTCTCCCTATGAAGGATTGTCAGTTATAAAAATGACTGATATTTTATTTGTTGAAAGAGATAAATGAAGGGTGAGACTAAAACCAGGGGAGGTCATGATATATGATTCTGTGAATTAAGCTGTTTGTGATATGTCTACTTGAGTACACATCAGAGGCTTAGAACAGTTCCTGCCTAGCCTATAACAAGATCTTACTACATATCATTAGTATATCAGCACCATCAAATATTTTATTTGTAATGGATGTTATTACTAGATACATTACCTAGTTTTGGTTTGTGGGGAAGATAACTAGCTACATACATAGTTTCAGTAGAATGCTAGAAATGTTGTCTTTGATTGACTATGAGAACCTGAAGAATATAATTTTGTGCTTTAGACCAAATTCAGGCAAAACCAAAGGAAGGTAAAATTGAGTTGGTTTTAAAAAATGAAAAGCAGTTAGCTAGACAGAGAAGGACCAGGATATTCTAAATGGAGCACAGAGACTCAAAGTCTTAGAGTCATGGGTAAGTTTGTTCTCCCTTGGTAGAAATGTGTAAAAGGAGGATAGGATAAAATTTAGGCAATGGCTGACGAGACATTGAATATGAAAGACTTCATGTACCAATTAGGAATGTTGACTTTATCTTAGCAAATGTTGTGACTCACTGAGGAAGGAGAGGAAGAGGAATCAAATCAATTGTTATAAAAGTCTAACTGGAGCAGAATGGGTTGGCTTATATGAACAGAAACTAGAGGTTATGGGAGTTGTTATAGTAGAGATCCTGAGGACCTCAGCAAGAGAATTGAGAACACAAAAGTCAGGACATGTGGGATGGTAGCATTTTAGAGGAAAATTCAGTCATGCTAAGAGACTAAATAATGGATGCAGGGGGAGGAAGTAGTGTCAATAATAGCAACAATAACTAAAATATACTGATTATTTCCCATGTACCAGTTATTGTTTTAAGTATCTTACCTATATTAGTCCATTTGTCATCATACCCCTCTGGGGTAGTAGATATTAAATTACCCATTTTACAAGTGAGCAGACTAAGCCATGAAAAATACCCAGTTTAAATATTTCTGGGTTAAATGAAACTAAATGAGATGAATAAGAGAGAAAGAATACTTGTAGGGAGTAAGAGGGAATTAGTGTGCTTACTACAATTTCCAGATACTGGAGTAGTTGTCATTCTCCATCTACCTGATAACTTCCAATGTCTGGTTGGGAAAAAAACGACAATACATTCTTCATTATCAACCTGCCTGTGAGTTTAAGTTGGAGAGATTATAGTATTTTATGGTAAAAATTCAGTATATCTTTTTGATACCTATTTTTAAAATACATTACCTTTTTAAAGATTTTATTTACTTATGCATACAGAAATGGGGTACAGGCCAGTAGTGCAGGGGCTGTGAGAGGATTCACCAGAAACAGAGTGTGAAGCAGAACAGGCATAATGACAAAGCATACTGCTGAGGGGAGCAGTGGGCGAGACTGGAGAGGTCTGTTGTGCCGTGTGGATCACCTGTAGGGCAGGGATTGAGCTCACACTGCAACAGCCACAGCTTGGCTTAGATTCTCAGTGCAGCGCACTCAAATGGGCTGAGCCACCAGCGAGGGCCTAAAACATATTATTTTATTGAAATAGACATGGCATATCATTCAGCAAGTTGCTGCTTTAAAAAAAAAAAAAAAGATTTATTTTTATTTATGCATACAGGAATTGAGGTGTAGGCCAAAGGGAAGGGGTGGGGTGAGAGGATTCACCAGAGACAAAGTAGGGAGCAAACGGGCAAATTTACTGAAAGACAAGGCTGAGGGGAGCAGTGGGTAAGATGGGGGAGGTCTGATGCTCCCTGTAGGTCACCTCCCTAGCTGGGATGAAACTCAGACAGCAGTGGCTAAAAATAGCTGAATAGCACTGAGACTTTAACTCCTGCACCACCAGGGATGCCTGCATTGCTGTTTTAAAAAAGAATTGTTCCATTATACACAACAAGCCTAGCTGGTGCTTTTGTCAGTAATCACATTCTTCCTTTTGTAGTACTTTGAGTATTCTGTTCAACGTGAAATTCGGCATAACATCCAGAAGGAACTATGTCTCCATGCTGTTCAAGGTCCCGTTCAACTGAAGACATGTACTTACAAAGGTCACAAGACAGTGGCCATTGGAGAACAGATATGGGAGATCCAGAAGGTACTTCAGTATAGTTAATTCGCCCTTTTCTGTAATTATTTTAATTAGCTCTCAATATTTATCTGGGAAAATGCATGAAACACAATATATTAATGTTAGAATTTCTTTGCTTTTATCTTTAGCTTTGTGTCTCCCAACATGATAAAAAAGAATGCATTATGAATTAAATACTCCTAAGAGCAAAATCATTATAAAGTCGCTTAAAGCATAGATTTATGCAGATAATCACTTCTATGAATTATTAATAATAGTTGCCCATATTTGTCTTTTTTTTTTTTT